TGTTCCTAACACAAATTCTAAATACTCCTACCTCAGGATCTTTATACTTATCTCCTCTATCTGGAACACTATTTCTCAAATATCCATAGGGCCTGCTCCCTTTCTCCCTCCTTTCCCTCTGCTCAAATGTCACCTCCTCAGAAAGGCCTTCTCTGGCCTTTCTATTCAGTCCTCTCCATACCCATCCCTATTTTATCTATCTCCATAGTATTTATTACCATCTACTATCCTCTACATTATATTTGTTTCTTGCCAACCTCCACAAGAAAGCCAGTTCCACAAGGACAGCATTTTGCCTATCTTCGCTACCATGACCCCATCATCCAGATCAATACCTAGTACACAGTAGACTCTCCATAAATATTTAAGTGATTAGTGCCTATTCACAGACCTCGATGAATGGAATTAAATGTAAAAAAATAAACACAACAAAATTAAATTACTTAGGGGAAAAAAAAACGGAAAGAAAAACATTCTATCTCCATCCTTAACCTCCTATAACTTTCCCCCTCAATCTCTACTTTCCAACCAGTGACCATGGTAGACATAGCAATATGTCTCAAAAATATCCACATTCTAAATCCCAGAACCTGTGATGTGCTACCATACACGGCAAGAGATTTTGCCAATGTGATCAAGGTTAAGGACCTTTATGATGGGAAGATGATCTTGGATTCTCTGAGGGCCCAATGTAATCTCAGGGATCATTAAAATCAGAGAACCTAGAGCCAGCAGGTGGCATGGTGGCTAGGGTGCTGGACTCCCACATGGCTGACTGTGGTTCACATCCCAGACATAGTGACTTGTTTTCTCACTCTCACTCTCCAGCTCTCCCTGGTCAAACTGAAGAATAGTAAATAAAATAAAAAATTATTTGGAAAAAAAAAAAAAACAGAGACTTCTTTCTAACTGTTGTCATTAGGAGATGTGACTTGGAAGAATGGTCAGAGAGATGCAGTGCTGCTGATCTAAAAACAGAGAAAGTATTAGTGAGCCAAGGAATGCCAGCTGCCTCTAGAAGCTGGAGAAAGCGTGGAAACCGATTCTCCTCTAGGACCTCTAGAATGGAACATAACCCTGTCAACACTATTTTCTTTCTTTAAGAATTATTTTATTTAACTGTATTTATTTATATATTTTTTAATTTGACCAGAGAAGGACAGAGAGAGAGAAAAAGTGAGAAAGCAATTTGCCAGGTCCAGGACTCAAACCGTGGTTGGCCATGTGGAAGTCCTGTCCCCTTAACCACCATGTCACCTGATTTTCTTTTCTTTTTTCTTTTTTGAGAATTTTGCTATAGGGCACGTGAGCTCACTACAGAGAGAGACAGACAGACAGACAGAAAGAAAGAAATCATCCCCCAGGGGGATGGCCACATGCCCTAATCCCTTCTCCATTCCCCTCTAGGGATCTTGGGCACACACATACACTCACACTCAGCGTCAGTTTTAAGCTGCCAGGTCCAGGATGAGAACCATGGTCAGCTACCTGGGAGTCCAGTGACGTAACCATTATTCCATCTGGTGGTCCCCCAATACCATGATTTTACTCCAGTGAGAAGCAGTCAGACTTCAGACCTCTACAACTCCTAAGGTAATAAATTTGTGTTTTAAGCCACTCAGTTTATAGCAATTTGTTACAGCAGCCACAGAAAACTGCCTACCTTAGCCAAAGGCTTTGAGCCTGTTTTTGTCTGAGGGTTTTTACATGAAACAGTTTCTCTCAACCACATTACTAAGGGCTAAAGTCATTTTGAACAGGATGATTTAAAAAAAAATTTTAAGTTTATTTTCTTCTTCTCTGAGCAAGAGAGACCGAGAGAAACAAGCACCCCTCACAGGGTCTTTATGCCATGATCCACTCCCAGAGTCAGTCAGCTCTGGATCACAGGCCTGTGCATCCTCAGGATACAGAGATGGATGCCTTGGAAAAGGAACCCAGAACCTTCCTAAGGGGTCAGCTTCACAGAGCAGCACATCTTAACACTGTACCGCCATCCAGTCCCACGGCTAGGTAATTTCTGTCTTACAGGACCTTTAGCAGCATCCTTCACTTCTGTCTGCTACATGCCAGCAGCAACCCCTCCAGTTAGGACAACTACAAGTGTCTCCAGACAATGCCAAATACATTCTGGTAGGCAAAAATCTCCCTACATTGAGATATAATCATTATGCATTGCTCCCTCTTCCTGGGAAGCTCTTTCCCAGTCTTTTCTCCAACTCTGGAACCTCAGAGAGCCTTCTCTGACTGACCTACTTAGAACGGATCTTCCCCACCCCACTCTACTCTATTTGCTGTGGTCCCTCCCCAGGGAAACTCACAGTTCCTTCCCCTGCTTCCATGGGGTATTTGCTCAAACATCTCAGCAAAGCCTCCCATGATCACTTGTCAAAAATCACATCCCCCATCCCTCTTATTTTTCTGTTAACACTAATCCCTTCTAATTTTTACTTAATGTCTTGTTTATTGTCTGCCTCCCCTCCGTATAAAGTACACTCCTGTGGCCAGGAATTTCCGACCTCTGCTATATACCAGTGCCTAGAACAGTGCACTGCAGAGTGGAGCCCCAGTAACGATTTACTTATTCACTATAACAACACCGTTTGTTTCCTGTTCACTTGTCATGTTGTTTCTAACATACTTAGCTCTGTTTACCAATTCACAACTGGCTCTTACATAGCAACTGGTGTCACCACTTTATCTCCAGCACCACACCAGACACATGGCAGGTGTTTACTGAACAAATGAATTTATGAAACAGCCCTATAAACTATATAATTATACCCATTTGAAATAAGAGGAAACCAAGGCTTAGAGATTAACTTGCCCCTGTCAATCAGCAAGAAATGGAAGAGCCAGGAGCACAGCAGCAGCCTCTCTGATACCAGAACCAGAGTGATATAACCAGAATTTACCAGGCTGGGAT